CCCAGAGAGCTGTTCATGTTTGCCTGTGTGTGTGTGTGTGTGTGTGTGTGTGTGTGTGTGTGTGTGTGTGTGAGAGAGAGAGAGAGAGAGAGAGAGAGAGAGAGAGAGAGAGAGAGAGAGAGAGAGAGAGATACAAGGGTCCTTGTACATTGAAGGACCCTTCATTAGCCTGATAGCACCTATAAAACACTTCTCAAAGTAATATTTTCACATTTCTTAGAATCTTTAATTAATTTGGTACAGGGTCTCCCTATGTAGCTCAGACTCATAATAATCCTCTCCTGTCTCAACCTCCCCAGTGCTGGGATTACAGGTGTGTAGTACCACCCCCGGTTTGGGTGGCCAGCATGGCATGTAGGCTGAGAATCGAGCCTGGGTCCTTGTGCTTGCCAGGCAGGTGCTTAGACTGCCAAGCTATCTACCCAGCCCTCAGAAAAATATTTTAAAGGCTTGTGATTATAGTTCAAATGCATAGTTTGAAATACATGTGTGATTGCAAAAGAAAAACAAATCATCTTCACCATAGAACAGGATAAAATACATAATTTGAGGGAGAATGGGACAAGTACCCTAATACCATCACTGTCTGTTGCCATGGATAGCAAAAATGTATGGTGGAATTTTTTCCCATCCATGCTTACAACCCAGGAAACTCTATGTACGGCTCCCTCGCAGAGGGTCCCCAGATTAACACCATTAGTCCAGGGACTGTCAGCACCTCCACACCCCATGTCTCTGCCACCTCTGTCCCCAAGAGAATGACGTAATGGAGCAAGGCTCAGTCACATGTGTGCAGGGGACACTAAAGCATCCTCATTCAGCCCCAGCAGTGCACTGTGTCACTGCCAGTGAGCTCAGCACCTGAATGCTGTCACCTCAAAGATGTCATTCAGTGGCACTTCAGTGCTCCTGCTGCCACCAAGAGCTGACCTACAGCAGTGTTTTTTCTGCTGTCCCTAATGCCACCCACCAAAGTCAGGAGATGGCCCTACAGTACCCCTTACGCTTCTGTACCCAAACCTTATGGGCACTGCTACCAGAGTAACGTGTTACATAACTACTTCCTTTGGGAAAAATTTACTCCCCTGTCTCCAGTGAGACACTGTGCCCAAGATTTAACTCAAATGTCCACAGGGATACCCTCATCTGGGTTATCAGCTTCTCCTCAGAACTGGCTTCTCGTCCTGACTTGTTAGGCTAGTGCAGAGCAGGGGTTCCATGGGAGAGGGTTCTGGAGAGAGGCATTCCAGAAAGAGAGTGCAGTGCAGTATGAGAAAAGCAGCAAGCTAAAAAGCAAGTAAGATACAATATTTTCCCCCTGTTTTGTGGAGCAAGAGTTAAGGAGTTTGCAGCCCAGTGTGAAGCAAGTGGGTGCATCCTTAGTCTGGTGCTGTGGTGGGAAGAGTTGATTATTAATCATGTAAACCGGGCCAGCCAGGTAGCTAGCAGACTAAAGTGCCTGTTAGGGCACATGCAGGGACCAGGGTTCAATCTCCAGTGTGGTGTGCCGGCCCCTCTCCCAAGGTACAGTGACACAGTGACTGAGACTGGGCATGGGTGCGCACACCTGCAATCCCAGCGCTTGGGAGGCTGAAAACAGGAGGATCACTACGAGTCCCATCTGTGTAGTGAGACCCTGTAGACCCTGTACTAAATACATTTTTTAAAAAATCATGTAAACCACTAATGCTCTATTACTGCCCTGTTCAAAAACCCTCAGTGACCACCCCACTGTCCACGAAACTAGACACGCCCCCTGCCCACAAGCTTCACATTTCCTTTCCGGCTAGCTCCCTTATCTCAGACCCACCTGCCGGAATGTTCTTAAGAAAGTTCTCCTGTTCTTCCACAGCCATCTCAGACACTGTCTTCTCTGGAATGACTTTCTTCACATGCCCCCATCTCTCCTAACATGAAAGATCACTTTGTGCCTTCAGCCTCTGGAGCATTTTTCTTGCTGCTTGTCTTCCTGCCCCTTTCATCATCGTTCACTGTGCTCATCGTGGACGTCTGCTGGATTTGTCATTCCTCAGGGAAGAGACTGCTTCATTTATCTTTACACCTCTAGGAGTGCTTGCCATCATGTCTTTCATGAGTAGAATACCAAGGATATGTCTTCAGATGAACTGGAATGATATCTATGCAAAAAACAGACTTAACAGAAATGGGCTGCCTGACAGCTCACCTATCACAGAGTACACTGGCTAACCCATGTCGCTAACTCTAACTTTTTGATTGGTTAGTAACTTCTAGTGACATTTTGCTTGCATGTGGCCCTGACCCGTACACTTGTATGGACTACAGCACCATTTTCCCAAGCCATTTGGCTAATTCTCACTCCACAGTGTCCTCCCTAACCAAAGGCACCTAGGCATGTCACCTGTGTGACCCCTGGATCCTATACTTGCGGGGCGGCCCAGTTGGTTTCACACTGTTGTCACTGTCTTGAAATCCTTAGCCCATTTTAAAACAGTTCTCATGTTTTCATTTTGAAATGGAATCCGCGGACTCAGCAGCCTGCCCACATCCCCTCTGCCATCTGGCCCTGGTATCGCTGGCACATCCTCCACTGCAGGCATCACTCAGAACTTTAGTTTTCTGCATACGTCTGTCTGCTTCTCTGTGTGCCTCAGTAGATTTTAAAAACACTGGGAAGGCAGAGAAAGAAAATGGGAGGAAGGAAGCAAGGAGGAGGGGAGGAAGGAGGGAGGGAGGGAAAGAAGGAAAGACGAAGGAAGGAAGGAAGGAAGGAAGGAAGGAAGGAAGGAAGGAAGGAAGGAAGGAAGGAAGGAAAGAATTGCTCTTGTTATATCCACACAGCTCAGACCAGCACCCTGTGCTTCTTCAGTACTTACTGACTAGGTAAATGGATGAATATGGGAAGGGAAGAAGGAACTCACTAATTAATGAGTATTTGCTCACTCTTCGCCCATTGGGAGCCACAGTAAGGAAGTCCTTCACTCGCACCCTTCAGATGGCAGTAGGCTGGTAGAGAAATGCCTCTAAGAGAGGGTAATCTTAGTCTCAAGAAAAAAATGGGCAAAGCAGAGGCATGAAGAAGATGAGTAAGCAATTTGCAAATGTTAACCCAGAAGGAAGTAGCAAACGGATCTATTTTGGACCCAAATGCAGAGTCATGAAGCTACACTAAGATGCCCTGGAAGGCAAAGACTACTTTACTGGTTGGATGATCTCTGGCTCAGTTTTTTTTTTTTTTTTTCCTTTCTCTATGCCTGGAGTCAACAGCCACTCACTAGAGGGGACAAACATGTCACTGTCCCTGTTGGGTACTACATCATCCTCCAGGCTGCTTTAGTGATCTCTAGATTTCATTTTCTCATTGGTAGCTTGAGATCAAGTAGGATCGCTGGCTTTTGATACGTTTACAATTTGGAGTCGGAGGCATCTTAAATACAGTTCAAAGTGTCCTGATCCATTTAGTTATCCTGGTCAAAAGCATCAGAAGTTATTTTAAAAATCATGTATTGGGTTTTTAAATCCCTAGAATAGTGCTTCCCTCCTGTAGGAGACAGGGCCTATTGGGACAGCACCTACTCCTCTCTCCACCTGAGGAGATAGATGAGGGTCATGTAGTTCTCCTGCTGGGCTGGAAATGTTCTCGCCACCCTCCTCTGCATGTTCTGGTTGGCCACCCAGAGCTCCAAGCCCTGTCTGCTGCGCAACCTCAGATGAGTTACGAATGCCCCTTCAATCTCTGCTTTTACATCTATACAATGGAATCAATGATATTCCTGGGTATATTAGTGAGCATAATAGACACAAATGCAGGAAAGGGTGGAATAAGCCCAGCTTCCATCTCAGTTTCCACTGTGAACAGTACAAGTCACCAGCTCACAGAGTCCCAGCAGTCTCCAGCTCCCACTCTAGTCCTCTGTTGCTGTAAAAAGAAGGGAGAGACAGAGGCCAGTCAGAGGTAAGCAGAGTTCTCCTCTAAGGGCCAGATGGTATGTATTTCAGCCTTGTGAGCCACAGAATCTCCATCACCAGCTGTAAAGTGAAAGCAGCCTCAGACACTGGGGGCAGCTGTGCACTCGTGGAACTTTATGTACAAAACTACATGTTCAGGGCCAAGTATACATCCCAGGCTATCATCAGCTAATCCTACACACAAGCCTTGGGACCCCCTGAGTCAAGTGATGTAGAAAGGCCTGTGGAGGTCTTCAGGCAAGCCATGGGGAGGCAGGGCTTAGCTCCAGCACTGGATGGAGGAAGTCAGGAGCCAGTACTGAGTGTGTATCAGATGACTCTCTGAGGAATGAGTAAAAGTGGAGAATACAGCTAGAGCTTTGGCCCAGGTTTATAGTTTGTTCTGTTCCTCTTGCGATCGAGATAGTAACTACAGCTGACACAGAGCCTTCTGTTTTATGAGACATTTTCCTTGGAACTCAGTTCCCCTTTGACTTCGGATGCTTCATATTTCTAGAAATAAAGTCGGTAGGTTGACTGCTTTTGACCTCATAGTTAGAAGTCATTTCTCTAGTAGTTTGACTCCAAAGAAATCGATAGTACTTGGACAGCAGAAGAAGTCACCACATTTATTTTCTTATTAATGGAAAAGGAAGCCAGGTGGCAGTCCCCAGCTGTAGCCATCTGCCAGCAGTACCAAACACGAGGTGGGTACTCTTCTGTGACAGGAGAGTGGCTTCAGCACTTGCCCTCAGGAAAGACAGCAAAAATCGCCTCACAACCTTTCTTAGTTTCCAAGGAACAGAGCTGCATGGGAAACTCACATACCTCAAAGTGAGCACAGCCTGGCATTCACGCAAAACCACACACACAACCATTCCTTTGTCTGTGCACTTGCAAAGGCTCCCCATTTACATTTTGTGTCATTCTGGATTTTGGTGCTCAAGTTGGCTGGCACCTACTGAGGGCTTGCATGATTTAACCTGTGTCCACTTGAATAGGACTGATGTTGTATTCGTTCTCTAATGATGAGGAAAGGTTCTTACCAAATTTCTCTTTTTGTTGTTTTACAGTTTTCTCCTTGTCTTTGGTTGCTTGATTTTGTCAGTGTTTTCCACCATCCCTGAGCACACAAAACTGGCCTCAAGTTGCCTCTTAATTCTGGTAAGTGAAACATTTGAACAAGAACATGCATAAAGTTTGTATCATTCCTGTTTGTAACATTTTTGCTATGTATTATATTGCACAAAATGTCCTGTTTGGGGGGGAAAAAGTGTAACTGTGAAGGACAAATGTACCAAAGATCACTGAAACCTACTTGTTTAACCTGTAATCCATCTTCAGGAAAATACAAAAATATTCAGGATTGCCACTCTATAAGGATATCTTTGAATAAAGCATTTCACTCAAAAAAATGCAGTGCTTGAAAGCAGTTTTAATTCTATTTACGTCTGCTAATAAAAATAATTATAAGAAGAGGCACTGTCATGACTGCCTTCATTACTGCTCAAGGCTACCCAGTGAGTGAGCTTTTCCAGTAATTGAAGGTTAGCAGTAGGTCAGTGTAATTGGCCAAGAGCTACAGGAATATGGCGCCTTGTAAGAAGACAGAGGGTCCCTTCATGCACTTTTCAAATAGCAGGCTGTAACATGAGCTTCTCTGGTAATGCAGTTACCTGGTGAGAACTCCTGCAGTTTGCTCGAGTTCCATTATGCTGTCAGTCCTCAGCCACACAGCGTTATTCAATTCCCTTTCAAATGGAAAAAGCCCCTTAGCTATTTTATTCTGAATTATTGTGGGACTTTTAATCTCTTCTACCTTCTATTGTAATGAAGCTATAACACCGTATACCCAAAGTACATCTGATTGAAAATGCAGTTCATTTTCATCCGCTTGACCTCCTCACTTAGCTCAACATTATCAGACCTGACAGTCTCATCGCTGTCTGCATGAGCTGGAACAGCTCACGTTTGTAGACCCTTGTGGAACACAGGAGGAGAGATTGTGTAGAATGTTGTCTGGACCCTAATACACAGATATAGGTAATATTGAGCAGGACGCATTTAGTATGAGAAGAATATTATTACCATGAAGGTAGCAACCTAAATATTCCTTAACCCAAGAAGAGGGCAGATGCTTTTCCTCTCTTTGTTTTCAGACCACTCGCTTGTGCATGGGGTTTGCAAAACATCCACTCGTTCAACCAGGATTAGGAGGGAAACAGGGCTGAATCTGGAACAAATCTATCCCAACTTATTTCCTTACAAATCATGCTCAGCAGTCTCTTTGAAATGTTCGTGTTACAGTTGGTTTTTCAAACCCCACGGTAGAGAATGGGTAGACAAAAGAACACACAAGGAATGTTTTCCAATCACAGAGGTTTCATTTGGGTGGTAAGTGGCATGGGGGGTAAGCCTGTCCACCCCTTTCCTTATAACAGGTGGCCTCAGCCCGGTGTTGAAGGCTCTGCTGGCTTTAGGTCTTCATACTTAACTTCAACAAGAATTTTTGAAATATTTTTATTGAGAAACAAATAGCAATGAGATATTTTCACAACTGATTACTAGTACATTTTCAATAATTAATACATTGCATATTGTTGTCTTAGTGGTTATTCATTGTGCAAGATGCAGACCTGATATCCTGTCTCAAACACTATTAGAACAAACCTTTCTATTCATTGAATTAAGAGAATGGAGCTGTATATCTATCCTAACTATTTTGCATATACAGATACAAAACAACAAGAAATTTTAGATTAAAAGTATAAACCTGACTTTCAGATTTAGAACATGAAAAACTGGATCTACTGCATGACCAGTGATGCATATTAGAAATAAATCACATCAGGTCACCTAGGAAATTGTTTCATTCATAACTGTGTCAAGAATTCAAAATGTTATGTTGCATGTTCCAAATTTCTGAACTGCAAATTCTGAACTACTATGTGGTCCAAAGAAACCCATGTAATTACAAACCTCAAAATTATTTAGAATTTTTGCTTTAAAAATCTGTTGAACCACTGATCAGCATTTAGTAACTGGAGTGCATTTTATTGATAAAATGTACACATTGTCAATCTGTGTGTGTGTGTTTGTGTGTATGTGTGTGTGTGTGTGTGTTGATAGAAAGACATGCATGTGTAAACATTGTATTGTCTCCTTCATGTGAGAACCTGAAAGAGAAAAATGGAATCTGAAGGGTACAATAGATACTGGGAAAAGAAAATGAAATTATTCAAAAGAAAAGAGTTACTGAGTTGAGGAAAAGGACAGGAGAGGGAGTGGGGAAAAGAGATACACCTATGTATGTAATCATGCATGATGGTTTGGACAACTGTACTGTGCTGGTCTTATGAAAAGGAACAGTTAAGGCTTAATTTGTTTTGCCTCCTTTTTGCAGTTGTTTGTCCTTTTCCTCTTAATTTCTTATACATTTCTTTCTTTTTTGCTTTCTTCTTCCAATTTTCCATGCGTCTATCTGGTAATATGAATAACTGGTTGGAAGACAACACTGTATATTACAACAAATACTGTGGAATTCGTATGACTTTGCTAAATGAAATTCTGTATCACTTTTAATTTTTTCTGTTTTAATTCTAATTTGTACTCTCTTTAAAAAAATTTCAAAAAACGAAAGAAATTGACCTCAGGACCTTACTCACAGAGTACAGGAAGCACTCCTTCACTGAGTTCCATGCCAGCCCTAAAGCTGTCAGTCTCCAATGCCTTAAAGCTTGGCAAGGTAGAAGAGTCACTCTTCTAAGAGGCCTTTGTCCTCCATAATTTGCAGTTGGTGCTACAAGCAGGTGTCTGCAAGAGGTGCTGTCACATGGCTTTCCACAGGAAAAGAGTTGCTAATTGTCTTATGTTGTAGCTATTTTAAACCCCAAGTGCATTCTAAAGACCTACCTAGGAATCTGAATCTGTGGACAAGAGTCTGAAGGGAAGATTTAATGGTGTTCTTTAACAATGTTTTCTCCAAAAGCTGTATTTTATTTAGAAAAAAAAATCAGTATCTTTGGATTTTTCTTTTTTTTTTTTTAGTTAACAATTTGAAAATCAGAAAAATGTGTATATTTTAATTCTTTTTTGCAATCAGGTAGCATACTATATCACAAAAATTTGGACAATTATAGAATATTGGGAAAAGCCATAAGAAACCCAAATGACTTAGGGAATCACCTATTTAATAGTTTTCTTTCTTTCTTTCTTTCTTTCTTTCTTTCTTTCTTTCTTTCTTTCTTTCTTTCTTTCTTTCTTTTGTATTTTAGGGAAGGGTCTACAGGATGTTCAAGGCCTCACTACTAGATTGGACTCGTAGTGATCCGCCTGCTTACAGCCTCACAAGGGCTGGGATTACAGGCACACGCCATCACGCCCAGTCTCAGTTGCCATCTCAGCACACCCAGGGGGGGGGGGGGGCTAGCATGGAAGACCCAGGGATTGAACCCCTAGCCCCTAATCTGCTAAGCTATTTGGCCGGTCCAATATTTTTCGACATATATGTTTGGGAGGGCTGTTCTGATTACAGAAGCTGTCCTTTGAGCCTCTAATGAAAAATATTCAAAGAACACAATTCTGTCAAGCAGTGACTTTAATTCCCTAGATAGGTCATATTTTACAATTTAGAATCCAAAGAGTAATAAAAGCTTTTAAAATGTTTGCAAAGACATACAAAAGTCATTCTTCCTTGCTTGCTCTTTCTTTATCTTTCTTTTCCTTCCTTTCTTCATTCCTTCCATCCTTTCTTCCTTTCTTTTTTGGTCTTTGTCTTTTTTCTTTCCTTCTTTCATTCCTTCCTTCCTTTCTTCCTTGTTTTTTTCTTTATTCCTTCCTTTCTTTCTTGCATATTCTTTTGTTCTTTATTTCTCTTTCTTTACCTTCCTTTCTTCCTTTCTTGCTCTTTCTTTCTTTATCTTCTCTCATTCCTACCTTTCTTCCTTCCTTTCTTCTATCCTACCTGCCCCCCTTTCTTCCTTCCTTCCTTCCTTCCTTCCTTCCTTCCTTCCTTCCTTCCTCTCTCCCTTCCTTCTTTCCGTCCTTCCTTCCCTCCTTCCATCCACAATAGGATCTTGCTGTGTTGCGCAGTCTGATCTTGAACTCCTGGGTTCAAGTGATCCTCTTGCCTCAGCCTCCTGTGTAGCTGGAACCATAGCCACATGCCACCATCCCCAAATTCAAGCCAGTTTTGTACATTTTGCTGTTGGTGTACGCTGAGCACTACCAGTGGATTAATTCAGAATGCCTATAAAATCATCACAACTGTATATTTTTGGAGGTCCTGCTTCATGAGGGTTTTTAGAAGATGTGATTGTAAATTGGTGACTGCTGCTGCCAAGTATTGTCCAACAGAAAATCAGCCTAGTAAAAATAACAGCGTGTCCTTGCCTGCTGTATTCACAGAATCTGGTACTGTCTGACTTCTATGTTTTCCCCCAGTTCACAACAACCCAAAAGGTAAATGTTTTAAATCAATCATGGACAGGGATGCAGCTAGACAGCACAAGTAAATGAAGACACTTATGAAAGGGTACTTCAGGAACTGCTTCAGAAAGTGGAAAGTATGATGGGATTTGTGAAGAGAAATATTTTGAGTGGCATTAATGGCAATGTTTCTTTTGTGGTCAAATATTTAAAAATTTAAGCATGCACTATATTTTTCAATTACAACATATCTTCTCCATTCAAAATGGAATAAAGTTAAATATTAATGACAGAAATAAAACTGGACTGTTTACAAAATTGTAGAAATTAAGCAATACATTCTTAGCATTTCTGCATCAAACAAGAAAGAACCAAAGAACTTAGAAAATATTTAGAAATGAAGAAAATCAAAATACAACTTGTTAAAACTTATAGGATATAGTGAAAATAGTGTGAAAGAGCAAATTTATCACTACATATCATCACATTAAAGAGCAACAAAGATCTCAAATCTGCAAACTGCCCATATAATTTATATAACAAAGAAAAGAACCCAAAGCTAGCAGAACAAAAGGAAAAGTATAGACCACAATACAAATAAATGAAGTAGAAAATCAAAAATAAAAATAAAACCAAAATTTGGTTCTTTGAAAAGATTGGGAACATTGTCATACCTCTAGCTTCAAGAAATAAGAAAAAGAAATAAACAACTCAAATTAATAAAATCATAAATTAAA